ACAAAACAACTTCGTGACGGCAGAGTACAGGTTATTCCTCCGCGTTTCTCCCACTTCGCTGGGTGCGAGGTTGCTGGGGAAGCTGCTGTCCTGGTCTCTCGCGGAGCTGCTGTCTTGATCTGCCCGGCCTGCCTAATTTTAGGCTTGTCTACAAGCTAAGGAGTCCCCTTCCATCGGGCTCTCTGCTCACCTCTACTCGTGCTCCGGCATGTGAACAGGACTGATGCCGACATAATTGAAAGCTTTTCATCCATTTCCACACGGATCGGCTATTAGGTTGTTCAACGTCTTCGCCGCTCACCGAACAACATGAACATGTCGGGAGTTCCGAACTCCACAAGGCTTACAGTGTGCGAGAACTGTCGTGACTGCGTGTCCTAATGCTGCGACCGCTGACGTAGGGCAGCGGAGATTGGGATATTGTAGCGATTCCTCGCGGAGTCTTGCTGTGCTAACCTGCCTGCTCCCCGATACATCGAACTCACCAGTAGGAAAGCCAGATGGTCTGATGATATAGAACCTGAGAGAGAGTGTGCGTATCTCTGTAGACAAGCCCATGAATAGACCAAGTTTAACCGTACTGCTACATGGTACACTTACGGAGAATCTAACTCCGGACGTAACGATAGGAGGGTTACATGCACCGAGCTCGACCTTACTCGTACATGGTACACGTACACCGAACCCGTTGGCTAACTAGGGGGTAGCCTAGCGATGCACTGTAGTGAACACTCGCATCCTCGATTTTGCGTATCTCCGCACCAGCCTCTTGGAGCTTCGAATTTTGCGTACGTACGCATCTGAACCGTTCAACAAATGCACGCTGTAAGTTAGGCACCACTACAAGTGAGACCTGACAGAGGGGCTTGTTGGAGTTGAGAACTACACCGGAATCTCTACTGTAGAAGAAGAAAACGGAGTGCAAAACGGTTTTGATACACCACCCTGTGCGAAACCTCGGACGAATCTGTCAGTCTGCTGGCTGACAGCACCATCAACCGTAGTACAGCACGTAAACACCTTCTCTACTCACGGATGGGTGGCCGGCGAGACCGTGAGGATGTTCCAGCCGCCAGCTCCCACCCGATTTGCTCACACGTAGAGTTCCCGGCTGGTCAGCGGAATGACCTTCCCCCAAGCGACCATCAGGCCTCGGGATCCTCGAGGTCCGCCGCGGTCGCCGTATCCGCAGTTCCTGTATCCACGGCGGCGAGATCGGCCCCGGTGAGTGCGGACAACACCTCCCTCCGCTGCTCTTTCAGGGTGATCCAAAGGATCCCACCAATCATTGGTCAAGGCCTGCCTGTGGAATCCCATCGAGCGCAACCGTGGGTACAGCGTTACACTCGGAGGAGAAGCCTACGCATCGGTCAAGTTCATCCCCCGTGCAACGTCGCGTGTTATGCGACAGGGGCATCGTTCCCAAAACAGGGTGAGGGGTCCAACAGGCAGCCAACCCCGCCAAGGACCCTGTGCCACCGATGTCGATTGTCGTGACAGCTATCCTACCGCTGATTTTGCACCTGTAGATCGCGTTCGTTCCCGAGTACATGTTTTGGCCGGTCTTGCTTGCGGACCGATACCTGGAGCGGCCTCCATACGCCACTACAACAGTGTTCTTGGTTGAAGGGCATAGGCTCATCCAAGCCATCGGGGGACATTGTTCGAGCAGCCCTCCTGACGGTGGAGTAACAACGGAGTGCTCAACCCTAGAAAAGCGCACCGGCAGCCTGCTGGTAATCCGGGGGTGTCCATGGCTACTTGTTGGAAGGCCGCCCCGTGTCGCTACGCGGTCCGGGTGTTTGAGCGACCAGGAGACGGGAGCGATCTTATCGAACGGGGCGGAGGTCGACTGCGCGTCATGCGGACCACCGTCTCGAAGCACCTTCTCCTTTGTGGACTGGCGTGCATCGCAGCAGGAGACCACGGGCGCTGTACCGTCCGAGGCTGCTTTACAAGCGGTGCTCGACCTGAATTTTACCGCGTCAGAGGACACCACCTCACTCAAAGGTGGTCGGTATACTTAGCTCACAAACAGGTGGTCCCGGTGAGGGTGAATGTCGAGATAGAGGCACTCACACACGGACGGCCTTTGGCCGTTCTCGTTCGAAACTGTTGGTCGTGTTGCACCTACGGCCATTCGACCGTAGGGAAGGGAGGGACTCGGTCAGGGCAGTGCAATGGTGAACCCCGGGGACGGCTCCGAAGGTCAAGCGGATGACCCACATTGTCTTCACCAAGCGTATTGACGCTGGAGTGCAGATCGCCATCGCATACGCCACCCACTGCGAAAACGTGGAGCGGATGCTCCTCGTCAACGAGCCCGTCCCACCGGAGACCCAGCCTGACACACCGTTCTAGGTGCAAGTAGCTGTGGCCGACGCCAAGCAGGAGATTCTCGTCATGACGCATGTCGCCAATACGACCCCGATCGCACGGGCAATACGGCGGCTAGGCAAGCAACGGGCATCGTCAACGTCTTCGTGTCTTGCCGAGCACACCTTCTGATCCTGGAGTGCCCGGTGCGATTCGCCGCGGAAAGGCGGGAGACCTTACAACCACTCCTGGAGCGGAGCTGATGCTCTGTGAAGGAGACCACGCTGGCAGCCACCGTCGGCTCTTTCCTGGATCGTGGCGGCCAATACTTCTTGAGGAGGCCGCCGGGTGAAAACACCATCTTTCAGACTGACCGTCGCCGACTCTCGCCCACGCAAACATTATCGTGCGCATGCGGAGGACGCTGGAACTCTGGAAATAGCCGAGGACTTTCAGTGGCACGACTTCATCAAGCTCACCACGGCACAAGATGACTTCCGGACCCCACCCACCGTCACAAGTGCCGCGGTCTGGGCACTCGAGGATATACACTGCCGCCGATACTGCGAGAGATGTCCTTCACTTTGTGCGCCTGTGGCGTGCATCGTCACCACGAACCACGACAAGCGCAGCAGCCGCACCGACGACCTTCTCTTTAACCTCCACGACACCTCCGCAGAGAACACGGACTCTGTGGTGGATGCCGCCCTGGAGGAGCCACGATTCATCGTCACCCCCGCTGTCACGAGGCGTACGGAACATCGAGCCCAACCGCCGCCGGAGTTTGCTGAGGCTTCCCCTCGCCAAGGAACGTCATCAACATAAATGATAACACCGGCCAGCGGGGAAGAAACGACACAAGATCTCAGCCGGCGCCCCCGCGACAGGGACGGCTATTCGGGGCCCCCACTGTGAGGAAGATGCCCACGACACGAGTGCCCAGCAGGAAGGGCAAGGGGCCAACCAGACAGGGACGTCACGCCACCTTCGGCACTCGACGCACTAGAGAAAGATGACCCTATGGCGCCGGCCCCAACCCGATCACTGGCACCGTCGCCCAGGTAGGCGGGCGAGGCTAATGGACCGGTGGCCATAACGGCAGACGCCCCGCTATTCGGAACAACATCCAATCCGCCGGAGGCCTCGGATGGCCTTGGTGACGACAACGAACAGATTAATAGCCCCAGAAACTTTCAGCGAGCTTGTAGCGGGTGGAGAACGTCTTACAGGACCCAATGAAGCTCGCGGAAGCGCAACTGCAGGACCCGAGCCTGAGGCGTATCCGAGCCCTGATCGAGGGAGGCTAAGGCGACGGCACCGACTACGTACTCGCGGACGACCACCTTCTGTGGCATGAACCCCGGGGACGGACGTACGCGATCGCAGTTCCACTCGGACTAGCATCAGGAGTGTTGGCAGTACGGGCGAGCCTGGTATTCGAGAGGAAGTATCACTGGCCCATATCCAACAATACCTCAGGCAGGAACCGCAGGAGGGGGTCCAACCCCCCCCTCCTATCTGACCCCGGTTGGGTCGTCTAGTTGGTACAAGTGGAGGATAGGGGCAAGAGGGGCACACGACAGAGTCCAATGATGGGAGAAAAACAAAACAAAAAAAATATGTCATGCGCTTTAAATTCGACATTTGGACAGGACTGCTGACATAGCCTTTCGAAAATCCAACAATCTCGGGAGAAAAATGCGCGATTTGCTGATTGCTCATATGCGGAAGATTTTCAGCACAGGAAGTTTCGTTGGGCCAAATATTTCAGTGGAAAATTGAAGTGCAACCAACACGTGCGCACAGTTTATTGTTTGTCCAAACACGCAAACCTCATGGACATTCGAAACTCTCACCTACAGCTCACTCATCTCTGCGCCTCTGCAGCCAAGACTTGGAACGCCCAGATATATCCTTACCACAACAGTGTCCTCATGATCTGAGATCAAACTGGTGAGCCGTTATATGATAGTGCTGCATGGTCACATGTGCCTCGTGTCACGTACTGTTGATGTTCTTTTTTGGATTTTTCATGCGGAGACTCGCGGGCCGGGTGCATGCATGTGCCGCATTGCTTGTGACTTGTGGCTGATCACTCACCAACTACTGCTGTTGTGTACATGTCAGCACGGTCTCTGTTTTGCTCTGCACCTCTGCTGACACTAGCTCGACATAGCTTGACTGCTAGAACCTAAATCTGCGGCAGCTGATTAACAGCAGTACATGCAGAAAAGTACACGTCTGAAAAAGTCGACTGCTTGATTTTGATGTGTTCCGAATATGATATTCTCATTCTGAGTCTCAAAGTTCACTGTGAATTTTCGCCCAATAGTGTGTTGCATGTTGATGACGTAATCGTGCGACCTATTTACGCGTCGGGTTTGGTGCTTTGCATTCTCCTTTCTTCCCCTCGCTGCCTCGGCAAGGTTTTGCGTAGGCATGACCCATAGCGAGGGGGGAAAGTCTTTCTAGCGAGCAGGGCTAGACTCACCCTCAGGGGACCGATACCTTCTTGCTGCGGCGCACCCGCCGCGAGGCGTGCGTAGTGGTGGAGTTGGGTCGGCACTGGTGCGTCAGGTCCAAAGGTGCAGATGCGCGGGCCTCCAGGCCGTCGGTGTAGGCAGCAATACCCATCTCATCCTTGTGCGTGGAGGCAGACGTCCTCAGAAAGGTGGACGGGCACTATGTACACGGCCCTAGGTTTGCTAGGGAGAGCTGTACTGTCTCAGTAACCTGGTTTTGCCATCAAAGGAGGAAGGGACAGGTGGTGACGAGCTGATTGGGCTGGTTGACCCTTCGGCGCGAGAACCTTCAGACCGAGAACCCTAAGTGCAACGAGGAAGAAAGCGAGGAACCGACTGGGAAGGACAGCAACGAGAGCGTGTACGAAGCGAAGCGGGTCGAGTTTAGTCGTGCTAGGACTGGCCACAGCGGCACCGGAGCAGCAGTACCGGAGCAGCGGAACCGGAGCAGCGGAGCCGGAGCAGGCGGACGGCATCGAACCGGGGCACACGGACAAACATCTCTTGTATTGTCAATTATTTTTCCGTTTTTTTCCCTGAATACACGTGTTGGGTGTGTGTAATGACGTCACTGGCTTTGTAGAGAGACGCGGCAGAGATGGCGCGGATAACCCGGGTGCCTTAATTGTGTACCTGCATCGTGGAAGACCCCTCCAATTTGGAACGATTCCTAGTCATTGTCGATGTTTATTTACACTGCTGTGCCTAACACAGATGATCTGGATAGATTCGGGTGATAGTCAATTGCAATGATGGCTTTGGTTGGGCGTTCTTCTTCATTGTATGTCCACAGACTCACTCTGACAGCGCTTCAGACAGCAGCTCCATGCCCCGAGCTTGTGTACCATGCACCATGGTGTTATTATTGTACAGACAGCACTTCAGACAGCAGTACGCTGTAGTCGACAAACATTCATTTTGGTCAAACGCGGGACAAGGGGAGTGATGCTGCTGCTGTAGTTGATTCGTAGTGTGTGGGCGTGTAGTTCAGTTGTGAGCACGCAAACGTGCTGCAGGGATTGCAGGTGTACCTCCTCGGGCTTTTGTACCCTTTCCTTGCTAATAGTGTGTGTGTTCTTTAGATCTTCTGATGGCTCTAGCATTTTTGTGACCACGGACCGAGTCTTTGCTAGATTTTGGGATTAGCAACTGCACGAGTTTACTGTGAAGAAAACAACAACAACAACAACAACAACAACAACAACAACAACAACAACAACCACAATTCGAGTTTTGCATGAAGCTTGTATTTGCGGGGTCTGTTTTTGAAGGCGGTGCGAGCATCTCTGGCCGAGCGTGGCTATGCGAGTAATCATTGCGTGTTCATGATCGAGAATAAGTGCCTTACCCTTGACCGCGAGCGTTCCTTACGTGTCCTCGAACGTATCCAAGTGCGTCGATTTATGGCGCGCCATGATGAGGCACGTTGTGTGGGGCAAGTTCGCGTGTTCAGGACGATTCGCGTGTCCAGGACGATGTGCGGGGCTAGCATTTGCTTGACACCACTAGCGAATCCAACTGGGGCCTGTGGGTGTGTCGCATGTTCTGAGTGATTTGTTCTTGTGGTAGGACACTTCGATTGAGTTTTGCGAACTGGACAGATGTAGAACTCGAATTTCAAGGGCATTTATTCACCATTTCTGGATGTCGTGATATTTGCCAGACCAATTCCTGCTGATATGTGCTTCAGGTTTGGACTGTTCGTTCAAGAGACACCAGGAAAGACGCATGCCAAATCTCTACGAAAGGGTTGGCGTGATTCACCAAACGATAAACACATATTGGCGGGAGTTGCCTCGGCCGTAGCTCCAGAAAAAGTTTGGTGTGATACGGCAAACATAATGACGACATTGAGCTTACCTTTGTGGTTGATAAACACTCCATCGCTCAGAGTATTGCTGCTTGGTCATAGGGTGCCTGCTGTGCCGGGGTACATTTCTGTTAGTTCCTTTTACACTCCGCACTCGCCGTGGTTCTTTCTGATGCTGCATCTCCAACCGCTGCGGATTCCAGGCCGCCAAACGCCTTGAAATTCGTCGGAGTCGTTTTGTCGACCAGGAAACGCACTCACACACCCTCGCCACAGGCGGGCGGAGAAGCGTTGTATTGGCGCGTTTAGCATGCAAACAGTATGTTGTAGGGCAGTGACCGCAGCATCATGGTGTGTGTCTCACATCCCGAAGCAGAGAAGAGGCGACATGGATGTGGATGGATTTCTTGTGGAGGTGGGACCGAGCAAATGAATCCACAGACAGGCGCAGCGCGCGCGCGTGTGTGTGTGTTTTTATTATTAGCATCGACCGCGCTAACCGGCTGACCA